CCCCCCCCCACCCACTTTGCAGTGTTTCCCCCCCGACCCGCCCAGCCTAACCTGTATGTTGTGGTTTCCTAACCCCTGCATCACAGGTCCTAACTGCCAAACTAACATCAATGAGTGTGCCTCCAATCCCTGCTTGAACCAGGGGACCTGCATTGACGACGTCGCTGGGTACAAGTGCAACTGCTTGCTGCCTTACACCGGTAGGACGCTGGCTCGCATCCCTTTTGCCTTGCGTGGATGTGGTTGTGTGTATGTCCTGTTTCTGCCAGTGGCAACACTATGTTTGTCACAATAAGATTGAGACAGGATATCACTTTGGGAATGTTTTATTTGAAACTAATATCCTTACACAAATGTTTGGGTCTAATAGCATTGAGACAAAATGTTCTGCTCCTTGCAGTCTTATTATTTAAGAAAACAGATAGCAATGTACTGTTTCGGGCCGAGCGGTAACTTATTCTCTGTCCCGTTGGAAAAATCCACACGACCGCTGAGGCCGAATGAGACGAGGCCGCTTGTGTTTGGGTGGGAACTGCTGCTGTATCCATTTCCTGTTTCCCACTTTGTGGGTCCTGTTGTATCGGGGCAGCACAATAGCAGGAAACCATGGTGCCGTGCCCAGACCAGTCGCTGTGGAAACAGATATGCAGATGGAAGAGAGGGCCTAGCTGAAAGGGAAAACTTTTGGGAGCTTGGTTTGTAGCCCTAAGCTGATTTCCGAGAGGTCGCCGGGTCGAAACGGTGTTTCGCCTCTTTGTCCTACAGGGGAGACCTGCGAGGTTCTGCTAGCGCCGTGCAGCTCCAGACCCTGTAAAAACAGGGGCGTGTGTCACGAGTCCGAGGATTATGAGAGCTTCTACTGCACATGCCCCGCAGGCTGGCAAGGTGAGCCACCCACCTTACACTCCTCATGTTAAAGCCTCTAGTTTATAGTTTCTCCACCCAGCCTCAAACAATCAGGAACACATCAAACAATTGTGAACTAATTAAACAATCAAGATCAGGCCAAACAATTGAGAACAGATCAAACGATGAAGAACAAACAATCGAGAATGGAGCAAAAATGTGGATTCTTTGGGGGTTCCAGAAGATTCCATTTAAAAGCACAGGTCTTGTTCTCTTTTCCCATGATGTGCTCTGGCCCTCATTGGCTCGTTTAGCATGTCTGTTTAAGCTTTTCCTCCACCTGCTCCCAGGCCAGACCTGTGAGATCGATATCAATGAGTGTGTGAAGAACCCCTGCGACAACGGCGCCACCTGCCAGAACACCATAGGCGGATACCAGTGCGCATGCAGACCGGGCTTCTCTGGGCACAACTGTGAGACCGACGTAGATGACTGCAAGCCGAGTGAGTACGGAGCTCTTCTGCGCGTGACGCTCAAGGCCCAGCGACAGAAAGTAGCCTGACCTTTGCACTTTCACTCCCCAGACCCCTGCAGCAATGGCGGCTTCTGCCGGGACGAGGTGGACGGCTTCGCCTGCGCCTGCCTGCCAGGCTTCCGAGGCCCCAAGTGCGAGGAGGACATCAACGAGTGCGACAGCAACCCCTGCAAGAACGGCGCCAACTGCACCGACTGTGTCAACAGCTACACCTGCACCTGTCTACCGGGCTTCAGCGGCATCCACTGTGAGAACAACACCCCCGACTGCACGGAGAGGTAGCTACTGCCGCCAATCAAACACTCTGGCCAATCAGATACTGTGGTCAGTCAAACACTCCAGCCAATCAGATGCTGTGGCCCATCAGACAGCTTCTTTCAGATTGCTGCGGTTACACACCAGTAAACTGGGTATCCGTGTTTCGCAGTTGGTCACTAATTATTATTGCAGGGTTTTATGATCACAATTAAGGTTACAAACTTATTTAAAAAAATCTCAGTAACCCTTGCTATTGGCTTGATTGTATTACATTCTTAATCTTCAATAAAGATTATAAATATAAAAAGTAATTGTAATACACAATAAATGCATTAATAATCTTTCTTATAATTGTAATTCTATTTCTTTATTAATATTATGGCAGTTTTTCCTCTGTGAGATCCTTCAGTGACGGCAGGAAAATACATTCATGTACTCAAAATCTTTTTTTTCTTTGATGGTCTCAAAATGACCTGCTCCTTGTCTAGCCCGTCATCCGGTCATCAGCCTGAGTGTATTCAAGCGGCACCTATGTAAGAGCTTCCTGTGCTGTGCTGACATGCTTGTTTGTCTGCCTGGTGTCGCTGACAGCTCCTGCTTTAATGGGGGCACCTGTGTGGACGGCATAAACGCCTTTACCTGTGTCTGCCCGTCCGGCTTCACCGGCATCTACTGTCAGTACGACATCAACGAGTGCAACTCCAGGCCCTGTCTGAACGGCGGCACCTGCCAGGACAGCTACGGGACCTACAAGTGCGCCTGTCCGCAGGGCTACACGGGACTCAACTGCCAGGTGGGGAGGGTCTGTGGGCTGCTGCTGGCTGCTGGGACTCCTCAACCACAGCTGGGGAGGGCGGTGGGGAGTGTAGATAGCTTCCTGCTGAATCTCTTCATCTTGGTTATAGAACTTGGTGCGCTGGTGTGACTCTTCACCTTGTAAGAATGGGGGCACCTGCTGGCAGAAGGGCACCTCCTACAGCTGTGGATGCCAGAGCGGCTGGACCGGCCTCTACTGCGACGTGCCCAGTGTCTCCTGCGAGGTGGCTGCCAAGCGACAAGGTAAACGCGCACTTTACTTCATGATGATCGGCAAGATATTTTCGAGTGCACCGATTGGCTGAGTCCTGTTGTCCCACCCCTTCCTGCCAGGTGTGGACGTGGCCCACCTGTGCAGAAACTCAGGCCAGTGCCTGGATGCAGGTAACACGCATTACTGCCACTGCCAGGCGGGCTACACGGGCAGCTACTGCGAGGAGCAGGTGGACGAGTGCTCGCCGAACCCATGCCAGAATGGTGCCACCTGCACCGACTATCTGGGAGGATATACCTGTGAGGTCAGTGCCTGCAGAACACTGGGCTCCTAAGTTGCTGACAGGGCTCCATGTCAAAAAAGCTTCAGTCATCTTGCCTGCTATATTAATGCCTGCTAACAGGATCCGCCGTTACGGTTTTGCTGCCCATGTTTATTTTATCACAGTTTATAATTTCATCTTCTGTTTGGAATCACAGGAAGCACCACCATTAATTTTCTGGCCCATGTTTCACAGTGTGTGCCCGGTTACCATGGCGTCAACTGCTCCATCGAAACCAACGAGTGCCTCTCACAGCCTTGCCAACACCGGGGCACCTGTATCGACCTGATCAATACCTACAAGTGCTCCTGTCCCCGGGGAACACAAGGTCAGCATCCCCCCCCCCCCACCACCACCACCTGACCTCCTGCCTGCCACTCATGAAGCATCTCTCTCCAGTCTGAAATCATATTTATATATAAACAGATGATTTATTCCAAAATAAACAGTAATAGGGTGTAAATAGTTAACATGAACATGTACAGTGCTGTACATTAGGCTTCATATCCAGCAAGTAACTTTTTTCAGAACAGAAGAAATTCTTATTTTTTATTGTTATTATTTCATATTCTAATGTTATATATTTTTTAAGCAAATGTACACTTATTACCCAGATAAATAGTTTTAAACATTTTCTTTGTTGTCGTATATATGTATAGAAAATTCAATTGCAAAAGAAATGTTTAACAGAAACTAAAAGAATTAATGCTAAGTGATAATGAATCAAACAAAATGTTTTCACCCTTGTTCGGCCCCTGATCCTCAAAGGCCTTTTGTCTTTGCCTCTCGCACTGATGTCATGTCAATGTCCCCTCCCTTTATACTCCTCAGGTGTCCACTGCGAGATCAACGTGGACGACTGCACGCCCTTCATCCACCCAGTCACGCAGGAACCCAAGTGCTTCAACAACGGCCAGTGCGTGGATGGCGTGGGCGGGTACCACTGTGTGTGCCCACCGGGCTACGTGGGCGAGCGCTGCGAGGGCGACGTCAACGAGTGCCTGTCGGATCCATGCGACCCGCGCGGCACCTACAGCTGCGTGCAGCTGGCCAACAGCTACCGCTGCGAGTGCCGCACCGGCTACAAGGGTACGAGCCGCCGG